ACATTTCACAATATTCCATTAAGCCAGAAGTAGATAATGTTGATTTAATTAATCCCGGGGCAGTACGTATTTGTCCCAAGGTGAAAGGCTCTGCTTAAAAAAAAAAGGAAACATTTTTCATGTTCATCTGTAAAGCTTATGTGGTACTAGAGCCATTTTTTTTTCTTTTTTCTTTTTTTTTTGGTACCGGAGATTGAACTCGGGTCCTTGCGCTTAGGAGTCATTTCTCATCATCATCTGAGGGACAGGCCTTAGGACTGTGTTGCAGGTGAACGTTCTTAATAACTGGTCCTGTTACCTAATCTACCTTCTTTGTTTGGTCTGCTGTGGATCTGCCATGTTCCAGATGCCACACAACAGATAGTAGTGCTAGACAAAGTGTGAGCCACCTAATGCAGTTTAGATATGCATAATCTAATCCACAATTTCCCCTAGCCTTCCTTACATTTAACTTGCTGTTGCCTAAATTATGATTTGGTTTTGGTAGGCTTCTGTTAATTTTTATGATTTGTACTTACAGCTATGTGAATTGCACAGATTGGGTAATGGAACACCAAACATTTATACTTGAAAATGACAGCCTTAAATGCTTATATCAGTCACAAATCCAGGATGTACTGTCTTTGTATGTGAGCTTTGTAGAGATTTTTAAAAATACAAGCATCATCTTCCCCATTGAAGAGTGGAGAGTCTACTGGACAACTAGTCAGAAGCTTTCTCTCAGAACTGGACATTGGATATCTTCCTTCTCTCAAGAAATGGTGGTTCACATTATCATGGCCTTATGTATGGTAAAATGGAATCTTCTGTAACTTTCTCATTTAATTGTGGTCTATTTTTAGGTAGACTTGAAGGAATTGTATAAATCAGTTAACATATTATCTGAGTTGTCCAACACAGGGTATAAGGGAATTAAGACAGTAAAGTATTATACATTTCCTAGTTGCCTTTGGGAATTTGATGGGGATTTTTTTTTTCAAATTTACATCTTTGAAACCCTGCACACTTGGTTTACTAGGCAATGAAAATTAAAATCTAGAATTTGTCCTGCCCTAAGAGATGGATTAGGAATCTGGAAACACAAACAGGTGTCACCTGCTTCTTGACTGGGCCTCAGTTTCCTCACCTTACAGTATGGAAGGTAGAAGAGACAATCTCCAGTGTCTCTCCCATCTATCAGTTCTTAGTGTCTTCTTTCCTGATCACAGTAATCATTGTTGGATACCATCTTCTCCAGATGGTAAAGATCATGTACACAGACTTTCAGAACTCTAAGCGAAGATGATTGTATCATCTGAACCTGAGGTGCCTTAGGTGCTCTACTGACCTTGATGGGGTTTGGA